GCCCTAAAACACTCTGTTCAGGCCACCTGGAAAATTCAGGTGTAGTTCCTATTGAAGGGTATATGTCACATTCAAGCAGCAGAAGGACAACATGCATCCTCTGCTCTCGCTTCGCAGACCGTCATTTTGAAGGTGGCCTGAACAGAGTGTTTTAGGGCAGCAAACCCTGGTCTCAGGCCACCTTGAATTTTGCTTGAAAACCACACCTGGGAACAGAATTGTAGCTACCCTGGGTCCGTATAAATACTATGTTGCTATACCATGCTATACCTCTTACACACCTATACAAGTTCAAAGCACGAATGAGACTTCAAAGCTGTGGATTGCTGTGCGTGTGTAGAGGTTATCGAGCGGTTGACGGAAAGGGAACTTGAAGTACTATACCTGGTAGCTGCACTATAGTTACCCTGGGTCTCTATAGGACCGCATAGTGGTCCCAGGTGGGGGCCGCAGCGCCACAACCACAACGCCTGGTCTCAGGCCACCTTGAATTTAGCTTGAAAAACTGTTTCTTTGAACAAAAGGGTTACCTATGTGTCGGCAGAACAAGACATGAAGCAGACTTGACACGCAGCCGCAAGCGGCTGCGCGAGCTCATTTGATTGCTTCGACGCACACTTGTCGAGAAAGGGAAGCGCTGGCTTTCGTATTGCAGCTTCTCAGGTGTTGTTGCGAGTTGTGAGGGAAGCAGGGCTTGTCTGCCGAAGCGTGGCGCGCACTTCATCAAAGATTTGCATGTGGCTTGTGAGGCCCTAGTTAACTTCTACATCGAACGCAGGCAGAGGAGAGGTCATATTCCAGATAAGCAGGAATTCAAACCACATCCATCGAGCCAATTTGGCTGCTTGCTACTATCATGTCCGCTTTCAAGCCTCCTTCAGCACAGCCCCCTGTTGGTGCAGCATTGTGCATGTAAAGGGTCTATGACTCTATCACTCGCCAGATGCACTCTTGGAGTTTCGTGTCTTTTCTACAAGACCCATCTACTGTCAAAATGGCGCGTTCCAAAAGCCAGCCGGTCGAGTCAACGTTCTTTGCATCATTTCCAGTGAAGTGTTTCCAGACCTTAGCTTGTTTTTGCTTGCTGGCGCGTTCGGCTCGTGGCCTTCAGCCCCCGCTCATGGTGTCTCGGATGGAGACCAACCAAAACAAACAAGAGAGAAGCAGGAGGCATTTGGCAACCATGGCTTGCCATCTCTAGCTTGCCAGAGATCAGGGGCTTGTAGAATTGGATTTCTATATTTGACACCAGCCCAGGTTGGCTGTTTGCAAGTATGGCTATCTCAAAGCTCGGTGAACAGCAGGACAGAAGCTATAATATATAGTCAAAACATGTCACAACCAGAATGTGTTTTTGAACTGCTTGACCTTATTTGACCATCTCATGCTCGCGCCGGCCGGTCACAACTTGCTCCGGTCTACTCCTCAACCTGAGCGGTTTGCTCCAAGAAGGCGTGCCTTTGCTGCGGGTGTGGGGCTTTCAGCTGCCTGCTTCGCCGGAAGTGCGACTCCTGCCACACGGCGAGGTGTGGTTACTTCGTCCTGCGTCGCGTGCGCGGTGTCGCGAGCCACGAAGAAGGAGCCATGGCGCAGGCGGAAGAATTCGCAACTGGGATGAACAAGATTCTTGAGTGGATTGGGAGAGAATGTAGCATTTCAGAAAAATAGTTGATATGCTAAAATTGACCCACCGCTTCATTATCACTTCCAACGTTTCAATTATTCAGATATTCCTTTTGCCCCTCCTTTGGATCCCTCCTTCCTCCAACTCGCCCCTCTCCCTGCCCCTCTCCGAGGCAGCTCTATCGTGAGCTCGAGGAAGGCCGAGCTTCTCCCGTGGAAGCTCCCCGGCCACGTCAGCGGAAGCCAGAGGTCTTAGCTCCTGCGGGTGGTTGGCCCCAGCTCCGTGCCGCCGTGCGGAATGGTGCCGATGCGGTGTACTTCGGGCTGGACGTGGGGCTCAACGCGCGGGCGCGGGCGGCGAACTTTGGACGAGAGGAGCGGGGAGGTGGGGAGGTTTTTGTTGGAGGATGAAGGGAGAGTGGAAGTGGATGTTGTTGGGGCTTCATAAGTGGTCGTGTTTGCTTTGGGGGAGTTGGCTTGGATTGAGAGAAGCTCTTGGCGACCACTGGGGGTGGGGGAATAGGCAGTCTCCAGTTCATGTATTCAAAGCCGCTGTTGGCAACCTGGATGTCCTCATCCAAGGATCCCCGGAGACAGAACGATGAATGGATTTTCAATACGACTTGGAACTTGTGTGGATTTGTTGATTCTTTGAGAACCCCGGCTTGGGAGCCATGGCTGTGCGGCATTTCGGGGCTCTCAGAACTTCGGGCGTTTCGGGGCCAGACCTGCCAGGACCTGCCAGAGGTGATGAAGTACTTGCACTCTCATGGAGTGAAGGCTTACGTCGCTCTGGCTCCAGGGGGGGTCCGATTTGCCAGGCACTTCTTTGGAAAACAGGAGTGCCAGGACTGCATAGGACTGCACGAGTGGATTGTGACGCCCTATGCGACGTCACCATCCTTCGCGGCCTACCTCTACTTCAGGGAAAACATGTTTCTAGGTCCTACCTGACCCATCCAAGGGATGCCCAATGGAGATCCATAAGTAGTGTGTATATATATATATAGATATAGATATAGGCATAGGGTAGGCCCTTTGGGATCCATAGCGGCACAGCTTGGACGGTGCTGGTACGTTGTTGGATCGACACGGAGCCGGGGTTCCGGTTGGGATAGAACGATAAGTCAATGAGGTTCAACCTTGCCAGTTTCGAGCCTTTGGGAGGGTGAACGTGTGTGAAAGCATTCCTCCCTGCTCCCAACCCCGAAAACACCTGGGTGAGGGGCATTTGCTTGGTCTTGCTTTAGGTGATGCTTGTTTTCCCACACTGGGTGAATCCCTTCTGAAGATGTCTAGGTCCTTGAGCAAATCTCAGGAGACCTGGCCAATGTTGAATTCCTCACCCTCCTCGGATGTGGCCAGACCCCCCATGCACAGTCAGCGGACCAGCGAGCGCGATGCTGCGATGTCTCACTGAAGAGTTACCAGCTCCCAGTGGATCCTGATACTATCGTAGGCAATCCAGTTCCAAAGACTTATGTAACTCGTAACGCCGACCGAAGCCCTGGTTCCTTAGACCCGGTGACCCGGAACCGGGAGTGGAGGTCTCCCAGTAAAGCTCTTTGTTGCGTCCTTTGCAGGGAATAAGGACATACTCTCTACAAAAACCACTGACCTCTTGCTTTTGTAGATCTATCTTTGAAATAAACTTCGGTAGATCTACAAAATGCCATGGAAACCTGCTACGTTGGAACATGTTGGAACTCTCTCAATTGGACTTATTGAGTGGATGGCGCAACTCTAGCTGAACAACCTCTACCCGACTCTACCCTGAGAATCCAAGACGACGAAAGAATGGTCTTCAGGATGCTTCAGAATGCCTGAAAAGGAGTTTCCTTCACTTGACTGGGGCAGAATACAGTTGAACTCGACTTATTTGGTCGAGTTTTGGTTTGCCGTACGCTCACGTCACTGCAGTTGCTGCAAGGTCACCTTGAACACGCTGGTCTTTGACCATGAGCTTTTCGACACGCCAGCCACTCGCCGGTCCAAGTGGGCCACAGCCATATGAAAGAGACGCGACAAATGGGACTGGTTGGTCTCAGGGGTAAATATACCACACATGGAGTGTGTGGGCATTTGTGGGCTCAATGATATCTGTAAGATTGTGCATCGTGCCGGCACCGCGCAGCTTTACAAAAAATAAACGCCATGCCAGCACGCTGAGATTGTGGGGTCACTGATCACTTTTTTCACCAGCAGTATCCACTTTTAAAGGGGGGGTGAGATATGTGAGATCCTCTTCGGTGCCAATCACGAACCGCTTCACACATGGGACGCGCCCGTGCTTGCATGTGCACGTCCCAGGCGGGCCCAGGCGCTTTCATATTTGGAGTGCTCACTCGGGGCTGTCCCATTCTGATTGTTTTCCGCGAATGTGGTCGCCCATTCTCCCCTGCCACCTGCAACCGGTCGCCGCCGCGGAGGAGAACTTGGTGCGCGCGGGCGGCGGCGCAGCCATCGAGGCTCTACAGGTCGTAGCGGAGGCCAAGGTTGATGCCTTGATCGTGCAAGATATTGGGCTGGCCTTACTGTGCCGAGCAACTCGGATCAACCGCTGCCACTGTGAGTCGGTTCGCAGCCGCCAGTCCGTGCTCCAGACCAGCGACATTTGGTGGTTTGACCACTTGACAGAGTGCTCCAGGACCTTCCCAGTATCGTTTTGAGATCTTCAAATGAGGTCACTTAGCTCTTGAACAGGTCACCGCGAAGGTCCAGGTTTGGATGCGGGTGTGTTTTTCCACAGCGGTGTAAATCCACAGACCTTCTCACCAGGTACTTGGGCCCTCCAAGCCTACATAAAATACATAGATAGTCTCCCTGCTCACCTTCTCGGATTCGGTATGTGGATAATAATGATATATAATGATCCATAGGCAATTCACCAACACCTCAAACACCTCTGCACATCAAACACCTGGCCGTCGGAACATGCGACGTTCCTGACCATCCGACGTTCCATGCATTCGCTCGAAGTCCTGCACGCCTTCGAAGTGAAACATCTCTGATTCGCTCGCTATTTCTTCGCTTGGCATGGCGTGCTTTTAAAATGTTTTAAGGGTCAAGGTAGGTGAATCTTCCAGTCCGATGGATGGTTGCAACTATAGATCCCAGTGTTCCTGCATGCACATGCATCCCAGTCATGTTCCAGCTCATGGTGCCAGCTCAGGATTCGGTACTCTCCCACTAGTGCCCCCTGTTTGTAGAGGAAAATGGCTCCCCAACAAAAACAACGAGTCGTCCTGACTCGTCGTCCTGACTCGTCCTGACTCGTCTTTCTCCTCCGTTCGGTGCAGAGGAGTTGTGTCCGGAGATCCCAGTCCATGCATCCACACAGATGTCCATCACTTCTGCCCCAGGGGCCTTGTCACTTGGAGCAGAGCCGGGGTGGGGCGGGGTCAGAGGTGTCATCGGACGGACGGGGTCCGCCATGGCCATACCGCGACTGGACCACCTGGGGGACTTGGTGAGGTAGAGCCAACGAGTGAGCCAACTGAGCCAGGTAAACCTGCAAAGCTCCCAACACGACCGAGGCCTCATACCAGGAGATCCTATACTGCCTGCCTATACTGTTCGAAGAGTCGAAGAGCCTGCTAACTTTCACAGTGAGCCAGCCAACTCGATGGTGCTCCAGTTGAATGTCCATTCGATCTTGGCACGACACCTGATTGGGGTCGACGTTTGAGAAGTGAAGTTTCACACATTAGAAGCCCTTGATGTAGAAGTCTTGAAGCAACAGGTGCGCATGTCCATGATGTTTAATGATTTTAGGTTGTGGGGGCAAGATGGGGTACGCATGGAGATTCATGTTGGTTTATGGACCACCTACGCAACTATGGCGAATGAAAGCCACAAAAGGAATGAGACTAAGCTTCAGACATGCCCTAAATCACAATCTTGGCACCTAGACACAGGGTACTCTCGGAATCTAACTTACATCTTCTCCGAATAGCCAGTCTGACCAGTTTAGATGATGATCCAGATCGAAGGCTGCACAAACGTTGGGAGGCATCCATTATTGAGTTTTTGTGCTTGAACCCCCGCTAGCCCTTAGGACTTAGGGCTGCTACTTGGTGGTGAGGGGGTATCCTCGCGATCGAGACAGACTTAGAAAAGATGGTTTTAGTAGAGTACCTGATTTGAGAATTTCCTGTGCTTCATTAGGGCAGAAGACCTTCGAACTCGACTTCTAGGGGACCCCTGACTGGTCACTGCGCCAGGTTCGCAGCCAACGCCCTGGGCGCAACGCGTGTGGTGCTGGGCCGCGAGCTGAGCCTGGAGGAAATCACGTCCGTGGCGGCTGATGTGGGTGACCTTGAGGTGGAGGCGTGGGCCACGTCGTCCGGACCGACCACCGGGAAGAAACTCCGTCCTTTAGGCTTGAGACACCTTAAGAATCAGGACTTCAGAATGGTGGATACTGGTACCCTGGCCTTCCAAGACTTCCAAGACCATTCATGAAAAGGTTGACCTATGTTACTATGTTGACCTTGTTGTGTAGTGCAAAGCATGAAAAAGCCTTAGTAATGGTTGTTCAGGAAAAGTTAAGGGCTTCCAATGGTAGGCCACAAGTCCCAGGGGATCTATGATCGATTGGTTCGGAGATCCACAGGTCGACTGCCGTTTGGTTCGGTCTCACTGAGTTTGGGTCTTGGGGACGGATCATGTTTTTTTTGGAACGGACAAGGGAAGTAATCTGGGATCAATATGGGAACAACAATGCCAACCATCTCCAACCAGGCATGTAAGTCAAGATAAGTAAAGGTTAATTGTTGTTTGCCTGGTTTGATGGGTTCGGTGCTAGTCTTGGGGTGGTCTTCGAAAGAAGACAAAACATGAATCTGGGTGTTCCAGCAGGTAGTACCGTCGGGTGAAAAAAAGACTGCAACGAAAGAAGGCACTGCTCCAAAAGCCTTCAATGAAGCGTTATTGCTTGTAGTTTCTGAGTGCATCAAGCTCTTTCAAGCTAGGTGTTGACCATCCAGCACCATTCATACACAAGACCCAGCTAGAACAATGACCATCAGGGGCTGCCCACGATGCTTTGTTCGACCCCTTCTTTTGCGGTCCAACGGTGTTCCACCCAGCCCAGACGGCCGAACGTTCGCGTTCTTCGCCGAAGACCGGAGGTCTTCGTGCACGGTGCGCTTTGCGTCTCTTACAGTGGGGACCTCGGCGGAATCAGACGATGGCGACGATGGCACACCAAGCAGCATTTGAGTTGCTTAGCGCTTGTACACGGTGAGCAGTTGACGGAGTTCACTGACCTGACTGGTGAATTGGCCATATTGAATCGTTCGTCGGCTCTTCATGGATCGCACCGTGTTGCGCTGTCGTATGCGAACGTGTTGCCTCTCGCCCTCTTTTGGTGATTGGAATTGCGAGTTCGGTGTGTCGACGTGTCAGTCTTAGACTACAATGAGAAACAAGAGAAACCCTCGGGAACCTCATGAAACAGAAACGTGGATGCTGGATGATGTTGGGAAGTTTTTTGGGGAGGCACCCCCAAGGTAGGATCGAGGCACTTGCATCTCCAACGGCATACTTTTACCACCTGACCCAGGGACGATTTAAAGAAGTACGATTGATATTAGATATCGATTATGTGTTGTTTTGAAAACTTCCATAGTTGATATATATATATATACTGTATATGCAAATGCGTATCATGTTGTTTTGATATTGATCTGGAGAAAAACCCGGCTTCCACGAGTTGAGACTCTCACCCTCCACTTGGTCACACCGACACCCGCCGTTTGCTCCGCCGAGCTCCACCCACCCTGCCGCACCGCAGACCCCGCAGGCGGCCAGTGCTTCTCGTCGGAGGCGTGGGGTGGTCGTTCCGCCAACCGCGGGCAATGCGCCCAAGCCTGCCGTTTACCCTACGGCCTCGTTTCCTGGGCGGCAGGCATGGGTGGGAGTTGGTGGGAGAAGGGGAAGCATCTGAAGGGCGTGTGAAGTACTGAGCGCGGGTTTTTAGGCGTTTTTTGGGTTGTCGCGACCATTTGTGTGAAGGTGAGAAGGATTGGACCTGCCAGAAGGTGGTTTTGGGCACATGGCAGACGTTCTTTGGCATGATTTTGCGGCATGGAGCAGCGAAATTCATCAGCAAGCAAGGTGCTGATAGTATTGCGGTGCAGTATCAGTATCATGAGCATCAGCATTGGTGGGAGGCTCCGTTCTTTGACATGTCATTTGGATTCATTTTCCTTTACTCGATTAGAGGCATCCAAACCGCATCGTGTGGAGTGTGAGTGGGCCACGGCTCAGGTGAAGGATGGTGAGCTGATCGATTTGGGCCACCTAGCCAATTTCGCTGCGAGCAAGCTGGGAAAGTTGATCCTCCAGTGGATGATCATTGATGGGTCAGACAAACCCAGCTCCCTCCAAACTTTGATGAGCTAACCTCCTTTTCGATTTCCTTCCTGTTCACGTGGCCGATAGCATCCGATAGCCATATATGGATCAGAAACCAGCGCTGTGAGCGTGTGTATTTTTCAGTGTGTCGGGTGGAAGACCCGGCCATTTGGTGGAAGAGACAGATACTGCAGACCTCTTCAGAGATTGGATGAGATCGATGTTTTAGGTGTTTGGGACACCCAATTGGAGACCCACGTGTTTCGGACGCGTCATGTTTCCACAGACCATCCAAGCAAACGACAAAGGCCCTCGACCTGACAGAAAGATGAGCTCAGGCGACGCCCAGCGCTATTTGTTATCTCCGCAAGATCTGATGGCTTTGGACACCCGATTTGGGAGAACGGGCCGAGGAGAGGGGGGGGCTGCCGAGGAGTAAGGAAAGCTGCATCTAAGAATGCACCCATTAATGCACCCATTGGACTCCATAATGCACCCATTGGACTCCATTACTTGGATATATTATATTATATGATATACTGTATTTGCGGCAATACTTGCTGTATTTAAGGATCAGGTGCCCCGGTGCCCCACTCATCACTGACGAGCGATCTGAGGACTACGTCCCCGAGCTCATTGATGCAGGCGTGGGCTGCTTCAAGATCGAAGGAAGGCTGAAGGGCGAGGAGACCCAATGCACGGCGATCGGGGCGCAAGGCCATTTTGACTCTCAAACACAGTTTAAACCCAAAATATCATAACCGTTCAGAAGATTGTGCTTTTCCGACGAAGGATCGTCGAGATGTTCCAGTTTACTTTTTCATCCGGAAGCCAACGATGGTATAGCATGGCCATGGTCAATGGTCCCTATCTCAAACCGCCCGTGATTCCAGATCCCCTTGAATCCAGATCCTCAAGACTCCCTCATTTCGATGCCTTTACAAGCAATTGCACATGGAACATTTCAACATATTTCAACCATGCCAGCCGTCTCCCCTCGCAGCATGTTGTTCGCCGCTCAGAATTCGTTGATGTCCTTTCGCCCTCGACCTCGCCCTCCCGTGAGGAGTATGTGGCGCTCACCACCGCCGCCTATCGTCAGGCGATCGACCGGGCTTGGCCCGACGACGCGGGCGGCGCCGCCAACGCCTTCGGCCTCGCCGGGGCGCAGCTGTTGGGCGACGCGCGGACGGCGCGGACGGCGCTGGCGCAGCTCTTTGCGCGAGGGTGCGAACTTCGGATGGATGGGGGGATGAAGACGTGGAGTGCTTGGAGTAGGATGAAGTTGGGGATGGAGTGCTTGGAGTGTTGGGGATGGAGACGGGTCCAGAAAGATCATAGACGTTTTGAAGGTTGTCCCGGTGATCAGATTATCCGAGGGGGGGGGAGGAATACTGAATACTGCATGATTCTGTGATGTTGGGAAAAGGTGTTCAGCGGTTTTGGCGTTGAAAGCTGAGGGGTTCAGGAGGTGGGATGGATGCTTCCCTCGAATTAAGATGATGAGGCTCGGCAGGCACAACTTCCTATGCCAGTTGCATGTAGATGGAGCAGTGTGATTCCTCCAAAACGCTTTCAACGGCGTTTGAACCTCTGAAGGCTTTGAGTGTTTGCAAGGACCGGAGGTCCTTTCAGGGAACAGTGACACACCCTGAAACAATCATGGAAGTGGAAAATGGCCGATGGAATACCATACAAGTGCAATTCCTTTACAAAGAGGTGCCCGGAGTGTAATGCGTTGATCATGGAATCGTGTATCATGTGAGGCAAAATCAGCTTTTGGGGTCTCAGAAGGGTCTGGACAGGTGGATGCAGCCTTTAAAATGCCTTTAACATCCTTTAACTATTTGGGGGATTGGTTCTGCACTAAACGAGAACCTTGGAAAAAGGGTTTGAGTTGTTGTTCTCCAGGAAAACTGAAGGGGTCAGAATGGGAACGCATGTGGTCCGTTTAGCAACTTGGTTTGAGATGAGTAGCCAGATTGGCTGTTTGGACACCGACGGGGTCAGTCTTAGAGAAATGTGTCGATCGTTTGGAAGTCTTAAGAGGTGTCGGTCGACCTGCAGGCAGGATGAAGAGCATGACGGTCTATCACCTGGCTTCCTGGAAGGCAACCGAGTCACGCCCTGCGTGCTCAAGTTGGGGCATGGCGGCCTTTGAAGGACCATGGCCACACATCTCCACTATGGCATCCATATTGGGGTGGTATTGGAATACTTGGAATCAACAGTCCACATGGGAGTTGCCATGGTTCAGGGTGATGCAAGCTATCCAGTTGCCTTATTCTGGCACCCTTCCTCGGGTGACTGTCATGAATCTCGGATGAAAGCTCAGATGTATCTCAAAACATAGGACGCACAGACCAGTTCTCATGTCACGAGATTAGCAGCATGTATCTCATAGTATCTAATATTGCACATCAATAGCTTTGCATCAATAGCTTTACACATATATACATATATCTATATATATATATATCCGGCACTATCAGGTGTGTGTTGCAGAAAAAAAGTACAGATCGTACTGATCAGTTCTCATGCTGTGAGAAGTGCATCCCTGCGTATCATTGTTGGACACAACAACAAAGTAGAGATGACTCATATCCCTGGAAATCCAAGTACCTCCTCAAAAGGTACTTGGATCCTCCAAACCCACCCCAAGCACCTTCTCAGAGGGTACTTGGGGTATGTATGCCACAATATGATGCCCATAAAGCATTTCTCATTATTTGACAGGTGAATCCTGGCATTTCATGGTTCGAAATTAAGACACAAAATCTCCTCCTATGAGATAGATCACATGCTTGTCACATAATGGTATGCGCAGATCAACTCTCATGATTTGAGATCATAACATGATATGAAGTATGAAGTATATCTCACACTCTAGGATGTACGGATGATACTATATTACAGTATACAGTTTAAGTTTGGCACAGCCAAACATATACAGATGAATGTGGCCTGATATCGCTCAGACTAGCCAGGATTTATGCGGACTACTCTTGATGATAATATGTATAAGTCATAACCTCCCCCCAAAAAATACACACACACAATGACTTGGGGACTACTTGGTTGATGAGACTAGTTTAGCAAACATCGTTTTGTTTGGTTTACGCAGAGGGTAGGGTAGAGACCTGTTGTAAGCGGCGATTTCTGCATCAGAAGAACAGTCGAAGACAGTTGTGAGCAGAAATCACATGCTCACAACAGTCCTTGGTGTAAACTTAAGCCTACTATAGTGTTGACCGGGCCTAGAGATGTTTAGAGATGTTTGACCAAGGGGAGTTCTTTCAATCTACTGTCAACATTAGTTTGGTAGTGAAATATGTGAGCTGAAATGTGATACATAAACGTGGCCAGGCAATTCCGTGCACCTGTCATGGCCCGCGTGGAATACTTAAATTCAGCGCATCGAGATGTTTGCCGGCGAATGAGATCGTCAATCAAGTTTACTAGCTGGGCTAATAAGGCAGACAAGGCCCCTCGGAAGAAGCAGATCGAGCAACAGGATGAGGCTTTGACGGTTGCAAGAATCTGGTATTTTTGCTCCTTGAGGTCAATCCAAGGTTTGTCCGCAGCCGCTTTTGGAGTTGGCTCCTTTTCGTTTTCATGGGGATGCTAGTTGAAAAACGTGGCCCTGGTCTTTCCTGAGATGTCCAACCGACATCTCTACCTGGGCCTTCAGAGGGATGGTTAATGGAGATCCCTAAGTAGTGTAGGGTAGTCTATTGGAGACCCCTTAGAAGGTGCTGGTATAGTAAGAGTTTTCCACCTTCCGCATCCTTCCGCCTTTCGGTGCTTTCTGGTGCCGCCAGGTCCCAAGCATCAACGTTTGGTGCGTGGGAAGGCTCCGAAGCACCGTGGGGTGCTACTGGGTGAGGTGCGAGCCGTTCAGAGCCTGGTCTGAGCCGTTCAGGGCGAGGCTGGCGATGTGCAGGTGGAAGCAGAAGGGTTTAGGGTTTAGGGTTTTCTTTGTTTGATGAAATCCCCGTGCAGGGAAAGGGGTGAACCTGGAAAAACAGTGGTATGTTTTTTCCATCAAAAGGGTGAAAGGATGGTGAAAGGTATGGGTTTTGATCAGAATGGTTCTTGGCGATGTTTGGTCTATAGGTATTGTTTTTTTGGTTGTAATGTGAAAGGTATTGAAAGGTATTGATTCTTCTTGGCGATGTGAACGGTCTACTGTATAGAGAGTATACAGTCGTTTTGGCCCTTTGAGGGCCCGAGGGGCCCTTTTTGATGATGAATTTCTCGGGATAGAGTTCTTCAAACATCTTCAACCGCCATACATCCTCCAACGGGACAATCAAGTTGTTTTAATGATGTTGCGTGGATCCTCCACTAGGGCAAAAGTTGGGATTTTTTGTGGCACGCCGATGTCGCCCCAGGAGTGCCACGGCATCCTTCGCTCTCCAGTTGGCGCCAGGTGCCATTGAGGTGCCGTTGCGGCCAGGCGGTCGAACGACACTGTCGGGTTCCAGGCGGCGGAATCGAGATGGGCACCCTCAAAGAGTACCTGAGATAGCCACAGATAGCCCTATCACTCTGGAGTCATTTTCAGAGTTGGTGGACAAATCTGATAAGACATAATTACCTACTGTAATTAGGTCTTTCAACTCTTCGATTGTTTGGTTTTATTGGGCAAAAAGTCCCCAGCCCCAAACCACCAAATGGCCAGAACCTTGAAGCACTTCTCCCAATCCATTTCTTCACCTGCAAGGAAGTCAGCAGCCACATGAGCCTGCCGATGGGTTCATCCCATAGCTGCTTTCGATACCTATCGCGTGGTATAAACATGTCAAACACCTTAGACAGACATACCATCATGATTCATCCAACCATGGTGACGCCATGATAATCCATTTGCATCCCATGTGCCCCAAATCCTTTGTTGAAGTTGTCTTTAATGTTGAAATGGTTTAGTTGTTTTGTTATTCATTGTGTGCTATTAATGGTTGTTTAACCGTTGTTGTGTGTCTTCGCCCCCATGGCGGTTTCAGACGACCCTTCGACCGCGAACTCGATGACGGCAGGGGCGGGCATTTTCTTCGACCAAGACATCGAGCTGGGAGAAGATGCTGAAGTCTTAGGAGCCGAATCCACAGAGCCGAACCGGTTTTTGAATTTAAAATATAGAAATCCAAATAGATAGAAACGGTTTTCCAATACATGAAGGAGTGGAGATCTACCTTTTCTATGTATTTGGAGTTCTATATAGCTTTTATGGAGCATCCCACCGGAACATGCCGTGCTTTGGGGAGTGAGTGTGGACTTTATGGAACATTCCACCGGAACATGCTGTATGAAATAGGGCTTGAGAAATGTATGAACATTGAGCACTTGAAACCAACTCCATCCCCCATATTCAAAATCCTGACAGTCAGGTACCAATCAGAGATGGACCAAGGCTCCTGCTGTCATGCCGGTTCACTGTTAGGCAATTTTTGGACAAAAAAAAGCTGTTGTTGACGCCAAGCTGCCCACCTTTCCTCGCAGTTCTGCACGCAGTTCTTTTCTGCCTTCTTGTTCCACTACCACTCACGCAGTTGTTTGGTTTTGCTTAGGATATTTTTAGGAGTGTGTCATTTTCCTTATTGGTGAATCCCTTTTGGTGATGTTTCTATGTCCTTTCCCCGTTTTCTGGAGCAAATCCCACGAGTTCGGCCCGACCGCCCAGGAGGCACCGTCTCGAAGCTCCGCCGTGTGGGGGCCGGGCCGGTGGCCACCAGTGCCGGCCTGGCCGCGGGCGAGGTGCTTTTGGTTCGCCTGAACTTTGGGGAGAAAGCAGCGGAGAAGCAGCAGCAAATGGAGGTGGGGGAAAAAAACGGTAAAATGGGGGTTCTGGGGAGTTCTCGTTCATCAATCACCTCGTTGAATTTTTTTGGCTCTTG